GGCCTGATTAGTACTTGTATGGGAGACCAACTAAGAACCTCAGGTGCCGTAAGCTTTTGTTTATTTCTTTTTTAGATTATGATGTCATAATCAGATCACTTTTTCCCTAGTCAGAAGCGTCTTGTCTTTTGTCGCAACCAGTGTTTGATATTATACCAACATCAGCGATATCACTTTTTGCTAATTTTGCCTATGGCCATACCAGTCTGAAAGTGCCTGATCTCGTCAGATCTCAGAAGTCGTGCAGACTTGGGCCTGCTTAGTACTTGTATGGGAGACCAGCTAGGAACCTCAGGTGTAGTAAGCTTTTGTTTATTTCTTTTTTAGATTATGATGTCATAATCAGATCACTTTTTTCCCTAGTCAGAAGCGTCTTGACTTTTGTCGCAAATAGTATTTGATATTATACCAACATCAGCGATTTCACTTTCTGCTAATTTCGCCTACGGCCATACCAGTCTGAAAGTGCCTGATCTCGTCAGATCTCAGAAGTCATGCAGAATTGGGCTTGATTAGTACTTGTATGGGAGACCAACTAGGAACCTCAGGTGCCGTAAGCTTTTGTTTATTTCTTTTTTAGATTATGATGTCATAATCAGAACACTTTTTTCCCTAGTCAGAAGCGTCTTGTCTTTTGTCGCAACCAGTGTTTGATATTATACCAACATCAGCGAGATCACTTTCTACTAATTTCGCCTATGGCCATACCAGTCTGAAAGTGCCTGATCTCGTCAGATCTCAGAAGTCATGCAGACTTGGGCCTGTTTAGTACTTGTATGGGAGACCAACTAGGAACCTCAGGTGCTGAAAGCATTTATTTATTTCTTTTTTAGATTATGATGTCATAATCAGATCACTTTTTTCCCTAGTCAGAAGCGTCTTGTCTTTTGTCGCAACCAGTGTTTGATATTATACCAACATCAGCGAGTTCTCTTTTTACTAATTTCGCCTATGGCCATACCAGTCTGAAAGTGCCAGATCTCAGAAGTCATGCAGACTTGGGCCTGATTAGTACTTGTATGGGAGACCAACTAGGAACCTCATGTGCCGTAAGCTTTTGTTTATTTCTTTTTTTAGATTATGATGTCATAAATCAGATCACTTTTTTTCCTAGTCAGAAGCGTCTTGTCTTTTGTCGCAAATAGTATTTGATATTATACCAACATCAGCGAGATCACTTTCTGCTAGTTCCGCTTATGGCCGGACCAGTCTGAAAGTGCCTGATCTCGTCAGATCTCAGAAGTCATGCAGACTTGGTCCTGCTTAGTACTTGTATGTGAGACTAACTAGGAACCTCAGAAGCCGTAAGCTTTTGTTTATTTCTTTTTTAGATTATGATGTCATAATCAGATCACTTTTTTCCTTAGTCAGAAGCGTCTTGTCTTTTGTTGCAACCAGTGTTTGATATTATACCAACATCAGCGAGATCACTTTCTACTAATTTCGCCTATGGCCATACCAGTCTGAAAGTGTCAGATCTCTGAAGTCATGCAGACTTGGGCCTGATTAGTACTTGTATGGGAGACCAACTAAGAACCTCAGGTGCTGTAAGCTTTTGTTTATTTCTTTTTTAGATTATGATGTCATAATCAGATCACTTTTTCCCTAGTCAGAAGCGTCTTGTCTTTTCTCGCAACCAGTGTTTGATATTATACCAACATCAGCGATATCACTTTTTGCTAATTGCGCCTACGGCCATACCAGTCTGAAAGTGCCTGATCTCGTCAGATCTCAGAAGTCATGTAGACTTGGGCTTGATTAGTACTTGTATGGGAGACCAATTAGGAACCTCAGGTGCCGTAAGCTTTTGTTTATTTCTTTTTTAGATTATGATGTCATAATCAGATCACTTTTTTCCCTAGTCAGAAGCGTCTTGTCTTTTGTCGCAACCAGTGTTTGATATTATACCAACATCAGCGAGATCACTTTCTGCTAATTTCGCCTACGTACATACCAGTCTGAAAGTGCCTGATCTCGTCAGATTTCAGAAGTCATGCAGAATTGGGCCTGCTTAGTACTTGTATGGGAGACCAACTAGGAACCTCAGGTGCCGTAAGCTTTTGTTTATTTCTTTTTTAGATTATGATGTCATAATCAGATCACTTTTTTCCCTAGTCTGTAGCGTCTTGTCTTTTGTCGCATCCAGTGTTTGATATTATACAAACATCAGCGAGATCACTTTCTGCTAATTTTGCCTACGGCCATACCAGTCTGAAAGTGCCTGATCTCGTCAGATCTCAGAAGTCATGCAGACTTGGGCCTGCTTAGTACTTGTATGGGAGACCAACTAGGAACCTCAGGTGCCATAAGCTTTTGTTTATTTCTTTTTTAGATTATGATGTCATAATCAGATCACTTTTTTCCCTAGTCAGAAGCGTCTTGTCTTTTGTCGCAACCAGTGTTTGATATTATACCAACATCAGCAAGTTCACTTTTTGCTAATTTCGCCTATGGCCATACCAGTCTGAAAGTGTCAGATCTCTGAAGTCATGCAGACTTGGACCTGATTAGTACTTGTATGGGAGACCAACTAGGAACCTCAGGTGCCGTAAGCTTTTGTTTATTTCTATTTAGATTATGATGTCATAATCAGATCACTTTTTTCCCTAGTCAGAAGCGTCTTGTGTCGCAACCAGTGTTTGATATTATACCAACATCAGCGAGCTCACTATTTTACTAATTTCGCCTATGGCCATACCAGTCTGAAAGTGTCAGATTTCTGAAGTCATGCAGACTTGGGCCTGATTAGTACTTGTATGGGAGACCAACTAGGAACCTCAGGTGCCGTAAGCGTTTGTTTATTTCTTTTTTAGATTATGATTTCATGATCAGATCACTTTTTTCCCTAGTCAGAAGCGTCTTGTCTTTTGTCGCAACCAGTGTTTGATATTATACCAACATCAGCGAGATCACTTTTTGCAAATTTTTCCTACGGCCATACCAGTCTGAAAGTGCCTGATCTCGTCAGATCTCAGAAGTCATGCAGACTTGGGCATGCTTAGTACTTGTATGGGAGACCAACTAGGAACCTCAGGTGCTGTAAGCTTTTGTTTATTTCTTTTTTAGATTATGATGTCATAGTCAGATCACTTTTTTCCCTAGTCAGAAGCGTCTTGTCTTTTGTCGCAACCAGTGTTTGATATTATACCAACATCAGCGAGATCACTTTATGCTAATTTCGCCTACGGCCATACCAGTCTGAAAGTGCCTGATCTCGTCAGATATCAGAAGTCATGCAGACTTGGGCCTGATTAGTACTTGTATGGGAGACCAACTAGGAACCTCAGGTGCCATAAGCTTTTGTTTATTTCTTTTTTAGATTAAGATGTCATAATCAGATCACTTTTTCCCTAGTCAGAAGCGTCTTGTCTTTTGTCGCAACCAGTGTTTGATATTATACCAACATCAGCGATATCACTTTTTGCAAATTTCGCCCACGGCCATACCAGTCTGAAAGTGCCTGATCTCGTCAGATCTCAGAAGTCATGCAGACTTGGGCCTGCTTAGTACTTGTATGGGAGACCAACTAGGAACCTCAGGTACCGTAAGCTTTTGTTTATTTCTTTTTTAGATTAGGATGTCATAATCAGATCACTTTTTTCCCTAGTCAGAAGCGTCTTGTCTTTTGTCGCAACCAGTGTTTGATATTATACCAACATCCGCGAGATCACTTTCTATTAATTTCGCCTATGGCCATACCAGTCTGAAAGTGCCTGATCTCTTCATATCTCAGAAGTCATGCAGACTTGGGCCTGCTTAGTACTTGTGAACAAGATTAATTTAGAAATAAACAAAAATGTTTAAAAGTCTATCTGTTCCTGTCCAAATCTGAGATGAATAAATTGCGTATACGCAGAAATAAGTTCACACTGACACATGCAGTTCAGGTTAAAAACACTTCAGGAAATTTATTAGCATCTAGTTAAAAAGTGGGCACGCAGGCCTTTTTATATGCAAAATGACATCATCATTGAATATCAGATAATAACAAATAAACATCATTAATTGGGTTAAATGTTAAGTGGCTATGTCAGTGTCCACCCATTAATATTATTAATTGGCTCAGAGATTT